AATCTTGGAATAGACTATTGCTATGGAAGCAGGGGACAAAAATGCAACTTCCTTGTGACTATGGAGTTAATGCCTGCAAATTAATGAAACGGTAAAGACGTTAATTGTTTTGTAGGACACTGACATACTTTCCTGTTGTTCACAGAGTCTGTCATGGAATATGAGGAAAAACACTCTGGAATGTACCATATTCACTCCTAATCATATTGTCCTTATACACCAGACAGTAGAGCATGTTATGGACAGTGTGTGTCTGACTCAAACAGCTGTATGGGTACAAGATCTGTGTACATAGAGGCGACACCTACCTCGCAAAACTAACCTGATTTGATGGATGATTTGTCTCTCCTGAGAAGTCATGTCAGCATGCATTTGACTCAACACGACTTGCCAAACCCCTTTAAATATGTTTTTTAGTGCACTGAAGACTGGTCAGGTGTTGCTGAATAGCTCAGTACATTTTTCCTAATTATCACATGTTTGAGGTACTGATGTCCCATACTTAATACAAACTTACAACAGTGTTGTACTATGTACATCAAGTATTGTCTCCAGTGTTGTAGCAAAGTATGCCACACATTTCTGTAAATATACTTGTACAGAGTTTAAGACTACACCCATGTCACAGCCTCTTAAAGATGGTTATTGGTAATTTTAAAGGGACATAGCTACTATATCCAACGGACAACTTGTGTGCATTGGTCTCTGTTTTACAATGGAATATTGCCTGTCTCAGTGATTGGTTTTAATTAGGATGATAGAGTTATGTCCCTTTTCTGGTGGAGGTGCACTGGTTTGGGATGTAATAGAATGACAGTATGTGTTGGTGCAATGTCTAAAGTAATTGCCAGATTGTTGTTAATGGGTCAGCTTGTTGATAAATGCACGATTTCAAAGACTATATTTTGAGATTCTCATTGACTGTATGTATGTTTATGGTTAGTCATCTCAGAATTGAATAAAGCATTATCATTTGATTTTCTCATGTTGTTTATCCGGTGATTGACATCATGAGCATCGATCCAAGCAATTTGGATACAATGACATGCATCAACCAAGTCAGCGAGTCTGACCACCCGAGCAGCAGGCAGGGTAACAAGTACCATTGTTCAAACATCATTTAGTATGATGTGTCCGGGGATTGAATCACAGACCTTCCACTCTCCTGACAGACGCTCTATCCAGTCGGCCTCATCGAACCTGTTGTGTCACAGATCCACTCCACCACAACACGCTAGCTTCCAGCTATGTACAGTATTGTTGATATTTCTATAATAAATTTCATGATGGCACCATGACACAGCAGCAACTACCGAGGAGAAGCAGAAGAGGAATAATATGCTTGTAGCCTTCTGACACAGATGACCAACCTTTGAAGTCGGTAGACACAGGTGACAAACCAATGAAGTCTGTAGACACAGGTGACCAACCAATGAAGTCGGTAGACACATGTAACCAACCATTGAAGTTGGTAGACGTCAGCCAACACAGAGGACACTGATGTCAACCCTGGATCAACCATTTCCAATATGGCTGCTACATTATAGGACCAGAACTGTGTGAGGACTTTATAGACACCATTCCATTTATAAGACAAAAAATTCAGCTTCATAACACAACATCCCAAAGTCAAAATACACCCCTAATGTATCCTTCATTCCTCCTCACAACATGCATAACTCCATGATGCACGGCAATGCATGTAATAGGGTGGGTAGCCGGTAAAACAACATTTTAAGGACTGTGAAATGACACAAATGAAAATGCCTTCAATGGTCGGGGGAAAAAAATCGGCTAAAAACTGGAGACTTGTACAAGATAAAGAAGCAACTAGTTCATGGAAATCTTTATTCCTTTGGAATAGTCAGACATGTTAAAACATAGAAACACATAGCCCTGGTTTGATGTACACAAACGGACAGGACATCCTCTACAAGATTGGTTTAACACATAGTTGCAGGATATGAGCCCTGGTATAACACACTGCTGCAGGATGTGAGCCCTGGTTTAACACACTGCTGCAGGATGTGAGCCCTGGTTTAACACACTGCTGCAGGATGTTAGCCCTGGTTTAACACACTGCTGCAGGATGTGAGCCCTGGTTTAACACATAGTTGCAGGATGTGAGCCCTGGTTTAACACATAGTTGCAGGATGTGAGCCCTGGTTTAACACACTGCTGCAGGATGTGAGCCCTGGTTTAACACAATGCTGCAGGATGTGAGCCCTGGTTTAACACACTGTTGCAGGATGTGAGCCCTGGTTTAACACACTGTTGCAGGATGTGAGCCCTGGTTTAACACACTGCTGCAGGATGTGAGCCCTGGTTTAACACAATGCTGCAGGATGTGAGCCCTGGTTTAACACACTGTTGCAGGATGTGAGCCCTGGTTTAACACACTGTTGCAGGATGTGAGCCCTGGTTTAACACACTGCTGCAGGATGTGAGCCCTGGTTTAACACAATGCTGCAGGATGTGAGCCCTGGTTTAACACAATGCTGCAGCATGTGAGCCCTGGTTTAACACACTGTTGCAGGATGTGAGCCCTGGTTTAACACATAGTTGCAGGATGTGAGCCCTGGTTTAACACATAGTTGCAGGATGTGAGCCCTGGTTTAACACACTGCTGCAGGATGTGAGCCCTGGTTTAACACAATGCTGCAGGATGTGAGCCCTGGTTTAACACACTGTTGCAGGATGTGAGCCCTGGTTTAACACACTGTTGCAGGATGTGAGCCCTGGTTTAACACACTGCTGCAGGATGTGAGCCCTGGTTTAACACAATGCTGCAGGATGTGAGCCCTGGTTTAACACACTGTTGCAGGATGTGAGCCCTGGTTTAACACACTGTTGCAGGATGTGAGCCCTGGTTTAACACACTGCTGCAGGATGTGAGCCCTGGTTTAACACAATGCTGCAGGATGTGAGCCCTGGTTTAACACAATGCTGCAGCATGTGAGCCCTGGTTTAACACACTGTTGCAGGATGTGAGTCCTGCTTTAACACTGCTGCAGGATGTGAGTCCTGCTTTGAGCACTTCACATTCAAACATGGTGTTGAGAAGAAAGTCACTGTCTCATTCATCACACTCAATGATTTTTCTTCTGTCAAGCATAATCCAATAATTGCTTTAACTTTCAATAACATAACTACATTCTTCAGTATATGCTCAGAATTCATTTCAACATTCAGCATCATAAATATAATAAGTTCCTTAACAAAACAATAAAACAGCCTCCACAGTATAAAACATCACACACCTGGATCCCTGTGCACATGAACACAGTCTCCTCAAATAACCCACGGCAAGGTACCTGCTTAAGATGTTAAATGTCAGCCTTCAAAACGTGCGCTAGTCCGCTAGCCTGAGACTCCTAACTTGTCCTGAGGACAAGTAAAACTCCAGTGATGGTAGCTTTCATTGACAAGTAGCATATAAGGGCAATAATTCTGAATTAGTTCTGTAAAACAATATATCACGTTGGCTCGTGTCGGCCTTTGATGCAGTCGCACAAAGAGCAAAGACACCGTGTTGGGTGGCGTCTGTCTGGACTTGCAGGTGTGATCAGTGATGACATGAGTGAGTAAAAGGCTTGTCTTGACCCTAGCAGTGACAATTCACAGGATGTAAATAGTGTTTGAATGACATTGTTTATATACTTGTAACAAGTGCTCAATAAACAGTGATGTGGAATACATAGTTGTTTGTTTTCAGCGTATGTCTAAGATGGTATTTCTGCTATTCAAAATGTCTTATTGTTGATATAAATGCGATGTTTAATAATGCGAGCAAAGACCACTCGCATTTTTCGCATTTAATTCACACTCGCATTAATATCAAGATTTACAGTATAATTGACAGATAATGTAAACCTTTTTGTCTCGATCACGCAGGACTAGCTACAAACTCGTGACAACTGACATCATGTGTCCACAAGCCCCTGGACTTGTCTGTAACAAAGCAAATATCTACAGAATGTGCTACTCACAAGAGCAATAACTGAAACAAGCACTCCTAGGGACTTAGAACTTAACTGTTACATCAGTTGTTCATTGCACAGTGAAATCTGGGGTACCCAGCCTGTCTTTGTAATCCACATTTTATGCTAAAATTACCTGATGTCATACTGATTAAATACGGAAACAGAACTGTGGGATACATGTGTTACCTGTAGATTTATTTTGGGAAAGAAGTACATGTCTATATTATATATATATTAGCTTATGCAGTGATGTAGACGTCAAATCAACGGTTTTAATCACAGCTTGTTATTGTGATTTGAAACCTCTGATTGACAAATGAGAATCAAGTATTTTCCATATTCATGGTAGAATTGATAATATATTAAATTAGGATTATCAGGATCCGTGTAGACAACGCCCTACAGATCTGGGTTGACAATCTATCTTAGACAGGTCGCAGTGTATTTGCCGTGGTTCATCTAGAGCTGACTGAACACTCCATGCAGCGTTGACTGACATGAGCAGCTTCAATTATTCATGTTTTCCTGCTTCATCACAATCATGACACAGACGTGTGTTTGTCTCGGTACCCATCACCCCTCACACTGTCGACTGAGCTCCAGTCGTCCTCGTACACTCACTGGAGAGCGGATTCATTCACCACTCTGCCATCATGCTGTCTTCTTCATCCATCACCTGACATGGTTTTATGAATGGTTGGTTTTGATGGTCGCATTTCATGAACAAATTCATGCTTGAATCAAGATATGTGCTTCCTCAACATTCCCTTCCAGCCAGATTTTGCATAAAAGTTCCAATAATTGCACCAAGTCATGAATATCTGGAAGACCTCATCACTGATCTTCTTTCATCTTTGGAGGCAAAATCTGAAACAGAAATATGACAGGTATGGAGGGAGTTGGGCCTAACTGCTACTTTGACCAATATGTCACCAATGTATTCCTACTTTGACCAATATGTCACCAATGTATTCCTACTTTGACCAATGTGTCAGTGATGTATTGCTACTTTGACCAATATGTCACCAATGTATTCCTACTTTGACCAATATGTCACCAATGTATTCCTACTTTGACCAATGTGTCAGTGATGTATTGCTTCTTTGACCAATATGTCAGTGATGTATTGCTGCTTTGACCAATATGTCAGTGATGTATTGCTACTTTGACTAATATGTCAGTGATGTATTGCTTCTTTGACCAATATGTCAGTGATGTATTGCTATTTTGACCAATATGTCAGTGATGTATTGCTATTTTTTAATATGTCAGTGATGTATTGCTACTTTGACCAATATGTCAGTGATGTATTGCTACTTTGACCAATATGTCAGTGCTGTATTGCTACTTTGACCAATATGTCAGTGATGTATTGCTACTTTGACCAATATGTCAGTAATGCATCGCTACTTTGACCAATATGTCAGTGATGTATTGCTTCTTTGACCAATATGTCAGTGATGTATTGCTGCTTTGACCAATATGTCAGTGAAGTATTGCTACTTTGACCAATATGTCAGTGATGTATTGCTACTTTGACCAATATTCTGCCTGGAATGACTTATTCAGTGTTTAAAGGACATTCACTCACTCATTAACACCCATCTAGAGACAGAGCAAGGATTATAATCCGGATAAACCTGTCTGAACCTAACCAGGTCAGGAACAGTGACCGTACCTCCTCCACCAAGCCAGCAGCGATGGTTGCTCCGCCTGACCTCAACATGAACCTCCCCAAGTCCTTGAAGTCTTTGTATTCCTCCAGACATATGTTCCTCTCCAGTTCGATTTCCACCACTGCACTGGTGTTCTTCACCAGGCATCTGAAACATACTTCACAGGTGAACATATGTCTGACTTCACAGGTGAACATATGTCTTCCCTCTCTGATATATTCTACTTAAGCTCTCTTTCTCTAAGTTGCCATAAACTAATTTGCCATACACTAAAGTCCTCCTGCACTATGTTGCCATAAACTAAAGCTCTACTAAATTAAGTTGCCATACACTAAGTTGTCATACCCTAAAGCTCTCCTCCACTAAGTTGCCATAAACTAAAGTTCTCCTACAGTAAGATGACGTACACTAAAGCGATCCAATACTAAGATGTCATACACTAAAGCGATCCAACACTAAGTTGCCATACACTTAAGCTCTCCTCCACAAAGTTGCCATAAACTAAAGCTCTCCTACAGTAAGATGACGTACACTAAAGCGATCCAACACTAAGCTGACATACACTTAAGCTCTCCTACACTAAGTTGACGTACAGTTAAGCTCTCCTACACCAAGTTGACGTACAGTAAGTTGGCGTAGACTAAGCTTCTCACCTTGGCTTCTTCTTCACCACCTCGCCGGTACTCTTGTTGAGCTGAGCCACGAGGCGTCTTATCACAGCAGGCTCATTGACAGACTGGTAGTGGAACACCACCTGCCAACACACCCATAGCATCAGTCACATGTGTACATGGTGGGTAGCACAGTGTATAACGTGTATGAACACCATTGGTATGAGCTTGGTAGCTACGTGTATAACGTGTATGAACACTATGGGTATGTACCGAGTAGCCTGGTGTATAACGTGTATGAACACTATGGGTATGTACTGAGTAGCCTGGTGTATAACGTGTATGAACACAATGGGTATGTACTGAGTAGCCTGGTGTATAACGTGTATGAACACTGTGGGTATGTACCGAGGAGCCTGGTGTATAACGTGTATGAACACTGTGGGTATGTACCAAGTAGCCTGGTGTATAACGTGTATGAACACTATGGGTATGTACCGAGTAGCCTGGTGTATAACGTGTATGAACACTATGGGTATGTACCAAGTAGCCTGGTGTATAACGTGTATAAACACCATTGGGATGAGCTGGGTAGTCTGGTGTAAAACATGTATGAACACCATTGGTATGAGCTGGGTAGTCTGGTGTATAACATGTATGAACGCCATTGGTATGAGCTGGGTAGCCTGGTGTATAGCGTGTATGAACACCATTGGTATGAGCTGGGTAGCCTGGTGTATAGCGTGTATGAACACCATTGGTATGAGCTGGGTAGCCTGGTGTAAAACGTGTATGAACACCATTGGTATGAGATGGGTAGCCTGGTGTATAACGTGTATGAACACCATTGGTATGAGCTGGGTAGCCTGGTGTAAAACGTGTATGAACACCATTGGTATGAGCTGGGTAGTCTGGTGTATAACATGTATGAACACCATTGGTATGAGCTGGGTAGCCTGGTGTAAAACGTGTATGAACACCATTTGTATGAGCTGGGTAGTCTGGTGTATAACATGTATGAACACCATTGGTATGAGCTGGGTAGTCTGGTGTATAACATGTATGAACACCATTGGTATGAGCTGGGTAGCCTGGTGTATAACGTGTATGGACACCATTGGTATGAGCTGGGTAGTCTGGTGTATAACATGTATGGACACCATTGGTATGAGCTGGGTAGCCTGGTGTATAATGTGTATGAACACCATTGGTATGAGCTGGGTAGTCTGGTGTATAGCGCGTATGAACACCATTGGTATGAGCTGGGTAGCCTGGTGTAAAACGTGTATGAACACCATTGGTATGAGCTAGGTAGTCTGGTGTATAACATGTATGAACACCATTGGTATGAGCTGGGTAGCCTGGTGTAAAACGTGTATGAACACCATTGGTATGAGCTGGGTAGTCTTGTGTATAACATGTATGAACACCATTGGTATGAGATGGGTAGTCTGGTGTATAACGTGTATGGACACCATTGGTATGAGCTGGGTAGTCTGGTGTATAACATGTATGGACACCATTGGTATGAGCTGGGTAGCCTGGTGTATAATGTGTATGAACACCATTGGTATGAGCTGGGTAGTCTGGTGTATAGCGTGTATGAACACCATTGGTATGAGCTGGGTAGCCTGGTGTATAACGTGTATGAACACCACTGGTATGAGCTGGGTAGCCTGGTGTAAAACGTGTATGAACACCATTGGTATGAGCTGGGTAGCCTGGTGTATAACGTGTATGAACACCACTGGTATGAGCTGGGTAGCCTGGTGTAAAACGTGTATGAACACCATTGGTATGAGCTGGGTAGCCTGGTGTATAACATGTATGAACACCTTTGGTATGAGCTGGGTAGCCTGGTGTATAACGTGTATGAACACCATTGGTATGAGCTGGGTAGCCTGGTGTATAACGTGTATGAACACCATTGGTATGAGCTGGGTAGTCTGGTGTATAGCGTGTATGAACACTATAAGTACGTACCGGGTACCCCCGTGTGATGGGCACCTCCAGGCTGAAGATAACGATCTTGGCACGGATTCGAGTCGAAAACTTGGCCGGGTTGGCAGGATCGCACAACACACTCCCTGGAACAAAAGGGTCACTTGGATTTACTGACATCACAAATACAACTGTAAACTGCTTCTAGCACATACCCATACTTACATTGGCTCTAATCCATACCTATATTTATATTGGTTCTAATACATACAAATATATTTAAATTGGCTCTCATACATACCTATAATTGCATTCACTCCAATACATACCTATATTTACATTGGCTATGTCTATTCCACTGATCAAGATGGTCACATGGTCACCAGCAAATGCCACCTGAACTGGCATCTCATCTATAAACACATCTGGAACAAAGTGAAAAATACCTTTTAGTTGTATTGCTAGCATTTTATTGGGAGAAAAGGATGCAAATTTGACTTAAAAACCTTTGCATCACAAGCCAACCATTTCAAGGCCAAAATGGCAACCCCACCATTCCAAGGCCAACATGGCAACCCCACCATTTCAAAGCCAACATGACAACCTCACAATTTTAAGGCCAAAATGACCTCACCATTTCAAGGCCAACATGACAACCTCACCATTTCAAGGCCAACACCGCAACCCCACCATTTCAAGGCCAACATGGCAACCTCACCATTTCAAGGCCAACATGGCAACCCCACCATTTCAAGGACAACGTTGCAACTCCACCATTTCAAGGCCAACCCCACCATTTCAAGGCCAACATGGCAACCCCACCTTTTCAAGGCCAACATGGTAACCCCCACATTTCAAGGCCAACCCCACCATTTCAAGGCCAACATGGCAACCCAACTAGTTCAAGGTCATTATGGCGACCCCACCATTTCAAGGCCAACATGGCAACCCCATCATTTCACAGCTGTTTCAACCCTTGTTTCACGATCAATGTATTGTGAACCTTGTAATACAGCACTATCCCTACAAGCCTTGTATCATAACATTGAAAGAAGGCAAGGGCCTTACTTCTGACGGTGGCGGTGATGTTGCCGGGCATGACGACTGCTCTATCACCCGGCTGGGTGTAGCCTGAGCCTATTCTTCCCGAAATCCTGAAGCCGGTGCCCTGCCCTTTGAACACGTCCCCGACATTCAGACGGAACGGTTTGTCTATTGGTCGCTCCAGTGACTTAAACTTATCTGTAAGAGAGAGCAAATACAATCAATACGTCCAGTTGTTTAGACTATTTCTTTGTCAAACATCTGTACCTGAATCACAAAGAATGGGCTCCACACATTGTGTCTGGAACCAATCCTGGGCATTCAGCAAGACAAGCAGGTCAGTAGACTACTCCAACACCCGATGACTGTAGGTGACATGACCCACGAATTCATGTATCGATGTCCTTCATGACGTTAGGTTTACCAATAAGATTCTACAGAACATACCACAGAGTGTACATAAATAAACACCCTTGACATCAGAATTTCAAACAAATGTATAAAAGTATGTTTTGTTTTCTTTCTTTGTTGAATGCCCCACTAAGTAATATTTAAGCTGTATGACAGTGGTCTGTTAATAATCAAGTCTGGACCAGAGGAGTGATTGATTTAATGTGCATTGAGACACGATGACAAGCATCAACCAAGTCAGCCTGACCACACGATCCCACTAGTTGCCTCTTACAACAAGCATGGGTTGCTGAAGACCAATTCCAACTGGGACCTTTACAGACTATAAAAGTATGTAGAGTAGTTAGGATGCAGGATCACCTACCAATCTGCTCGGATAGCGTCGGCCCCTTGTACCAGGCAGCCAGCTTGGGCTCTTTCACTGTCTGGGTGAGATTCTCACCGCCAAGACCACTGCACGGCACAAACGACACGTCCCCTTCCCGGAAGCCAGCCTGCTTGAGGAACTGACCGATTTTCTTCACCACCTCATTATACCTCTCCTCCGACCAATCGACTGTGTCCATCTTGTTGACAGCCACTATTATTTGAGCGACACCTGGAGGGCAAGGAGAGACAACTATAGTTTCATTTAAAAGTTTCTGCTACATGTACTTCAACAGAACCATTAATCATACAAATCATTTTGTACAAAGAATTCTCGTAAGGTCACATATTTCCCCAACGTCAAACCTTATCTCTAACCCTTACTTGCAGTTTCATAACAGATCAACAATATGATTTGTTTGTTTGTTGTTTAACACCGTACCCAGCAATATTCCAGCTAAATGACAGCTAAAAATCCAGTAATTGACGTCATGAGCATCGATCCAAGCTATTGGGATTGGATGACATGCATCAACCAAGTCTGCGAGCCTGACCACCCAATCCTGTTAGTTGCCTCTAACGACAACCATAGTCGCCTTTTAGGGCGAGCATGGGTTGCTGAATACATATTCTACCTCAGATTTAAACGGGTCTCAACAATATGAACTATTGTAACGCACCCAGTGATCTGGCTAGTAGAGCATGTTCACGGGTTTGACCCCCGGTCTCAAAGCCAGTCTCGAACTCCCCCTTTGTGGCGTTGATGACTAAAATAGCAACATCCGCTTGGGCAGCTCCTGGAAGAAAAGAGGTCAACATGTGTCAGGACAATCAACATGTGTCTGTCAGAATTAAAATGTGTCTGTCAGAATTAAAATGCATCTGTCAGAATTATAATGTGTCTGTCAGAATTAAAATGTGTCTGTCAGAATTAAAATGTGTCAGGCAGACAGAATTATGATGTCTTTGACAAAATTAAAATTAGTCAGGCAGACTGAATAAATATGTGTCAAAATGATTGATGACACAGAATTATAATGTCTTAGAGAGAATCAAAATGCGTCAGGCAGACAGAACTATAATGTCTTAGACAGAATTAAAATGTGTCAGGCAGACAGAACTATAATGTCTTAGAATTAAAATGTAATGGACAGACAGACTAACATAGTCGCAGACAGAATCAAAATGTATCAGGTAGAATCAACAATCCACATATGTCCCAAACGTTGTGTTCTGGAACCGTGGTTAGAGTTCTTTCTGCCGAGATGACCAGTGAAGGAGAACCACGACTACTGACCGGTGATCATATTGGGAATGAAATCTTTGTGGCCTGGAGCGTCAAGGAGAGTCACAGTTTTCTTCGGTGTCTGAAACTTCGTCTGGGCCACATCCATGGTAACTCCACGAGTCCTGCCCAAAATATGGCCATGTTAGCTACTTCATCACTGCTGAGGCCACAACAAATTGATGATTTGTTTGCCAGAATGGCCTCAGAATTCAATTCACTGCTTATATATAGCTTTAGTCAATAATTACATAGAATACAAGAGATGAAATCTTGATGCTTGTGTATATTTATCATGATTATGAGCGATCATTTCTCAAAAAGCAAAACCCATAAGTTGGTATTTCCCTCTTGTGCAGGGATATGATCAGTTGGGTGGCGCCACCTACCTCTCCTCCTCCGTCTCGTCAAGCACCCACGCGAAGGCAAACGACCCCTTGCCAAGCTTCTTGGACTCCTGCTCATATTTATGCATGACCTTCCTGTGGACGGAACCCAGCTGGTACAGCAGGTGCCCCATCAGCGTACTCTTGCCCGCATCCACATGACCTGCAATAAACACATGTCACTGTGACCTGTAATACATGTGTCACTGTGACCATTCCAGGTTATATTGCTTACAATATAATTTCGACCTCACAGAACTTACAGAATAATCTCCCCTTCAGATCCTACAATATCTCACCCTCACAGAACTTACTGCACAATCTCACCCTCACAGGATAATCTCGCCCTCACAGAACTTACTGCATAATCTCACCCTCACAGGATAATCTCACCCTAACAGAACTTACTATATAATCTCACCCTCACAGAACTTACTGCATAATCTCACCCTCACAGGATAATCTCACCCTCACAGATCATACAGGATAATCTCACCCTCACAGGATAATCTCACCCTCACAGAACTTACTGCATAATCTCACCCTCACAGGAAAATCTCACCCTCACAGAACATACAGGATAATCTCACCCTCACAGAATGTACAGGATAATCTCACCCTCACAGGATAATCTCACCCTCACAGAACATACAGGATAATCTCACCCTCACAGGATAATCTCACCCTCACAGAACTTACTGCATAATCTCACCCTCACAGAACATACTGGATAATCTCACCCTCACAGAACATACAGGATAATCTCACCCTCACAGGATAATCTCACCCTCACAGAACTTACTGCATAATCTCACCCTCACAGGATAATCCCACTCTCACAGAACATACAGGATAATCTCACCCTCACAGAACGTACAGGGTAATCTCACCTTCACAGAACATCATATAATCTGACAGGACTTTCCGACTCACCTATCACTACCAGGTTCAACAGGTCCAGGTCACCTTGACGTTTGGAATATTCTTCCTGTACATTTATTTTTTGTTTACTCCTGAAAAATTAGAAAGATCCCAATGTAGACAATATGTCAATAAGCGAAACACTATTACATGCAATAACTACAAGCTATATGTAACATGATCTATTCCCTGACAGACAGACAGACACACAGCCATACATATTTGATTCTGGTGACCACGAAGAACGAATTCAATTTATGAATGGATACGGTTTGATTCACGGAATACGTGAGTGAATCGTAACAGCCCTTCTCATCACACACCTAAACAGTTATAAAGGGCTTAGTCACAGGCCACATATCATCTTAAATATGGGTATAATTGAGGCATTGCTTGATGGATCATCCGGGTTTTTGTGTGCAAATGTTTAGGAGTCAGGAGCAGGGATAACCAAAGGTTCTTGTTTGTTCGCTACAATATTCCAGCTAAATGATGGCAGTCTGTAAATAATCAAATCTGGATCAGACAATTCAGTGATTGACATCAGGAGAATCGATCTATGCAATTGGGATACGATGACATACATCAACAAAGTCAGCGAGTCTGAACAACCAATACCGTTAGTCGCCTCTCACAACAAGCATAGTCGCCTCTTATAACATGCATGGGTTCCTGAAGACCTATTCTAACCAAGACCTTCACTGGTCTTATCAGTACACATAGTACCTGCAGTTACCATGGTTACAGAGGAAATGTCACAGAGATACCGGATAACTAATGATGCATAGGGTCTGAACATTGTTACAGCATATCAACCTTCACACTGATCACTGTTGGTAATTCTGTCCGGCTGATGAAGGCTCCCCTTACACCCTTGTTGTCCACCTCTCTAGCAGACATGTAACATTTTGTAGCTAGAACACGCTGGACTGGGACGATACACCAACTGTGCGATCCAGTACGTATCACGATACTTGTAAGTGCTCTCATATGTGGTGTGTGAGCCATCTTTTTCATAGACAGGATAGTAAAATATCTGGCACACTGATAATTTACATTTGGCAGTCGATAATCCATAACAATATTTACTTTTTAACTGCTAATTTTCACTGCTAATTAGTGTTTGATGGGTGTAACAGCCATTAAAATGAACATCTAAGGTACGAATCGATGTTTTGTACTTAGTACTTCGATTGACACTTGTTTCGGGAAGTAAAATACAGCGATCCACCGATGCTTCAGTGTATCGTCCCACCACTAATAACATCACACTTACTTAGACGATGACTTCGGTAAAGGCGGCCGATACGCTTGGTCTTTCTTAGGTGTAGGAAGACTGGAGGTAGAACTAGACGCCAGCGACGTGGATGATTCTACCGACGTCGTCTCAGACGTACTCGCCGCGGCTCCGCCCTGGCCACCAGTCACATTATCACAGCTTGTGGCCACCTGGGGGGCAAGTCTGTCATCACTCTTGGTTGACGTGGCAACCACAGGTTCAAAACCTCTAACAGGTTCCTTCTTGGGAGTGACAGTTACCTTCGAAATTGAATTTGTTGCACTTCCAATGGAATTCTGGGATTTGAAAAATGATGGTGGATCTTTCAGGATGGGTACATCTGTACTTGTGATGCCTGCAATACAACCAATCATCACCCGGTGATTACAGCTGGAAATATGAGTGAGTGAGTTATTGAGTGAGTTATTGAGTGAGTGAGTGTGAGAGGGTGGTGGGTGAGAGTGGGTGAGTGAGTGAGTCTGAGGTGAGTGAGTCTGAGGTGAGTGAGTGGGAGGTGAGTGAGTGAGTGTGAGAAGGTGAGTGAGTGAGTGAGAGTGAGGATGGGTGAGAGTGAGAGGGTGGTGAGTGGCTGAGAGTGGGTGAGTGTGAGGTGAGTGAGTGAGTGTGAGAAGGTGAGTGATTGAGTGAGAGTGAGGATGGGTGAGAGTGAGTGTGAGAGGGTGGTGAGTGGGTGAGAGTGGGTGAGTGTGAGGTGAGTGAGTGAGTGAGTAGGTGAGTGAGTGGGTGGGTGAGGGTGGGTGAGAGTGAGTGAGTGTGAGGTGAGTGAGTGAGTGTGAGAAGGTGAGTGAGTGAGTGTGAGATGGTGAGTGAGTGAGTGAGTGTGAGAAGGTGAGTGAGTGAGTGAGAGTGAGGATGGGTGAGAGTGGGTGAGAGTGAGTGAGAGTGAGTGAGTGTGAGGTGAGTGAGTGAGTGTGAGAAGGTGAGTGAGTGTGAGGTGAGTGAGTGAGTGTGAGAGGGTGGTAAGTGAGTTGGTGATAGTGGGTGAGAGTGAGTGAGTGTGAGGTGAGTGAGTGAGTGAGAAGGTGAGTGAGTGAGTGAGTGTGAGAAGGTGAGTGAGTGAGTGAGAGTGAGGATGGGTGAGAGTGGGTGAGAGTGAGTGAGTGTGAGGTGAGTGAGTGAGTGTGAGTGAGTTAGTGAGAGTGGGTGAGTGTGAGGTGAGTGAGTGTGAGAAGGTGAGTGAGTGAGTTGGTGAGAGTGGGTGAGAGTGAGTGAGTGTGAGGTGAGTGAGTGAGTGAGAGTGAGAAGGTGAGTGAGTGAGTTGGTGAGAGTGGGTGAGAGTGAGTGAGTGTGAGAAGGTGAGTGAGTGAGTGAGAGTGAGTGAGTGTGAGAAGGTGAGTGAGTGAGTGTGAGTGAGTTAGTGAGAGTTGGTGAGTGGGAGGTGAGTGAGTGAGTGTGAGAAGGTGAGTGAGTGAGTTGGTGAGAGTGAGTGAGAGTAAGGATGGGTGAGAGTGAGTGTGAGGTGAGTGAGTGAGTGAGAGGGTGGTGAGTGAGTTGGTGAGGGTGGGTGAGAGTGAGTGAGTGTGAGGTGAGTGAGTGGGTGAGAGTGAGTGAGTGTGAGGTGAGTGAGTGAGAAGGTGAGTGAGTGAGTGTGAGATGGTGATTGAGTGAGTGAGTGTGAGAAGGTGAGTGAGTGTGAGAAGATGAGTGAATGAGTGAGAGTGAGGATGGGTGAATGAGTGAGAGTGAGAGGGTGGTGAGTCAGTGGGTGAGAGTGAGTGAGTGAGTGACTGAGTGAGACAGATTTAGGTTTTGCACTGCTTCTGGCAATAGCGTAGTATCATCACAGCAGACAAGAACTGGGCCCACTTGCACAAAGCGGTCTTAGCGCTAAGATTATCGTAAGTCTATGTTGAAGTATGGGAGTTATCATCATCTTGTGCAAGTGCTAAGATCGCCTTGTGCAAGTGGGCCCACTTGCACAAAGCGGTCTTAGCGCTAAGATTATCGTAAGCCTATGTTGAAGTATGGGAATTATCATCATCTTGTGCAAGTGGGCCCTGGTCTCAGGTGTCACAAGCAAGGAAAACAAAGATGCCAAACTGAAATTGTGGCAGTTTGGATATTCGGGAATAAATGTCCAAAAGAGTAGTACCAGTAATCCTAAAAACATACTAATCATTGTAACCATCACTATCATTTTTTGTATTTTATTACCCCAAATCCTCGAAATCCCATCACATGCTAAAACAAGGTATTATCTATCATTAGGGCTGCAATGATACAGGAAGGTCACGATACGATACGCATCTCGATATTCTGGTCACGATACGATATGTATCTCGATACGCAGTAATACAAAAACAAGACTTAAAGCATGTCAAGATTGAACCTTCATGACTTAGGAACATTCAACATTATTTTATAATAACAAGACTACTGAAGTTGTTAAGCTTCAAAGTGGAACTTTCTCTAACTTTCCTTCAAAACAATTCAAAGTTCAAACACCAGAAAATAATAAAACTTCAAAGAATTTTTATGCAATGGTCGAAGAAATTGTAACTGAAATTATTGTTTTATCAGGAATAATATATTCCAATATCGTGTTACTTTAGTTGCAGCTTTTACTATATATGTATTTAAAATTATAAAAACCACAAGCGTAGCATTTTGGTACTGGTGATTGCAGTTGTAGGATATTTTTACGTATGGAACAATTTGACCAGTCACCGTAGGGACTTCCCGCCCAACATGGATTTCGATTGCGAAAACGTTATGTTGACATATATTAGCCAAATTGCCACAAATATAACTTTTAACGAGTCAAAGTATGACATTTTTAATATATGTATCCATTCTTTAGCAAAAAAAGTTCGTTTCAATGCGTCAAAAGCGGTAATCTGACCGTGGTTGCTGTATCTCTTCACACACGAGTTCACCTAACTTAATGAAAACAATATTAATTGAAATTTTGAATAAAATTAATAAAACATATTACAAACACATGTCCAGATATACAAAGCACACGTTTTAATAACAAGATAGTATAATGATGGTATTGAATTGCGTACTTCAGTTCGGTTTTGCTGACTGGTATTTCCAGTGTTATGTGCTTGCAGTGATCAGCTGATAATGTTTTTGAGATGGGGAAAAACATCTGTCAGTGAAAAACCTGAGCTTATTAAAAATGTAAGTACGTTTTTGGGAGCCATGCGTTACCGCGCGCTATAAACAAGTGAGCGGTTTATTGAAAGGCACAAAAGCGAGGAAACGCTGTACTTGAGATTTGCGTTTCACATCGTGGCTTATCGATAAATGGGCCCACGTTTATCGTATATCGTATCGTGGGTCAAGTATCGCGATGCATCGGAATATCGTATCGTATCACAAGATACCAGACGATACACAGCTCTAAAACACATGTCAGTAATATTTCCGAGGGATATATAGGAGGTACATCAGGAATGACAGATATGAAAGACGTCTGTCATAAGTAAGTGCATGGAGACAGTTGAGACTGCTAAATCCTTGTAATTACTGGCAATGGGGTTGGAAACAATTCATAGTGTATTCCACATAATCATGCTGGTTGACTTCAATTGGCATTCTAGAAGTTGGTAAGGAAATAAGAAAACATACTTTATGGATAAAAACCACATGTCATTATCCATACTTGTATGTTTTCGGACATAGTCATTATTGTCTGAATTTGGTTAAAATATATTACTGGTTGGCATCTCTGATAAAGCAAGTGAGAACCATTGCAGAAACATGCGGACCTAAGATGTACACAGTGGTGAAACGACAAAAAGAGCCAATTTTCCACACAGGGAACATTGCAGTGATTGTGCTCAGCAACAAAACCAGGAAGCAGCCTGAACCCAGACAGGCACACGTCCATTAGTGACGTCCATACATGAATTCTGTCTCATTAGTGACGTCCATACATGAATTCTGTCTTTCTACATGACACAACCCATGGAACGGAAAACCATTACCTATCTAGATCTTTACCACGGTCATTCTGTTCAAGGTGATCCAATGTGGAGATGACGAGAGCGTGTTGGAGCATGGGGTCATTCAGTAATTCTGAAAGTTTTGCTTCCAAAGTTGGTTTGGTTTGTTTGTTGTTTAACACCGCACTCAGCAATATTTCAGCTATATGACTGCGTTCTGTAAATAATCCAGTCTGGACCAGACAATCCAGTGATTAATATGATGAGCATCGATCCACGCAATTGGGATCAATGACATGCATCAACCAAGTCAGCTAGCCTGACCACCCTATTGTGTACAGTACCGAGTCTGGTGAGTCATATGTGAAGAGTTCCTGTTTTAGTTTATATCAATCTACAAATAAAAAAGCCAATATGGGTCATTGCAATTTAATTACAAGTAGATTAACAACTGCAGTGATAGTAGATAAATACCTAAAAAATGATTTAAAAGCATGACTAGTGAAACAAGATAATATGTTTCAGATACAAAATACCAGTCACTCTGTAGCCCAGCATGGAGGTCGTCATGACCCCCATAGTTAGGGCAAACCTGCAGTTCCCCTGTACCCCTGTGTAATCATGTAGCTTTCTTGCTCCATGTGTGTAAACAAAGACTGACGTGTAAATGAGGACTGACGTGTAAAAAAGGACTGACGTGTAAACAAGGACTGACATGTAAACAGGGACTGACGTGTTAACAAGGACTGACGTGTAAACAAGGACTGACGTGTAAACAGGAACTGACGTGTAAACAAGGACTGATGTGTAAACAAGGACTGACGTGTAAACAAGGACTGACGTGTAAACAAGAACTGACGTGTAAACAAGGACTGACATGTAAACAGGGACTGACGTGTTAACAAGGACTGACGTGTAAACAAGGACTGATGTGTAAACAGGAACTGACGTGTAAACAAGGACTGACGTGTAAACAAGGACTGACGTGTAAACAGGGACTGAGTGTTAACAAGGACTGACGTGTAAACAAGGACTGATGTGTAAACAAGGACTGATGTGTAAACAAGGACTGATGTGTAAACAAGGACTGACATGGAAACAAGGACTGACGTGGAAACATGGACTGATGTGTAAACAAGGACTGACGTGGAAACAAGGACTGACGTGGAAACAAGGACTGATGTGTAAACAGGGACTGACGTGTTAACAAGGACTGATGTGTAAACAGGACTGACGTGTAAACAAGGACTGATGTGTAAACAAGGACTGACATGTAAACAGGGACTGACGTGTAAACAGGGACTGATGTGTAAACAAGGACTGACGTGTAAACAAGGACTGACATGTAAACAAGGACTGACGTGTTAACAAGGACTGACATGTAAACAAGGACTGACGTGTAAACAAGGACTGACATGTAAACAAGGACTGACGTGTTAACAATGACTGACGTGTTAACAATGACTGATATGTAAACAAGGACTGATATGTAAACAAGGACTGATGTGTAAACAAGGACTGACGTGGAAACAAGGACTGATGTGTAAACAAGGACTGATGTGTAA